ATTTTATTTTATTATTTTTGTGTGCGTGTATAGTCAAATCAGATCTGACTGGTACAGGAGGAGATTGTCCCTCCTTCCCCGGCAGAGCATCTGGTGGATTTGAACGATGCGCCTCTGGGATTGTAGTTGCAGCTCCTTGCCACTAGGCCACCAGAGCTCCCCTTGAAAACAATTTTCTTTTATTCTATCCTTTAAAATGTGTTTAACAAGTTCAATCCATTTAAAGAAGAATCAGTGGTTTGAATCCACCAGCTTCTCTGCGAGAGAAAGATTGACAATCTCCTTCTGTGCAATTTACTGCTTTTGAAAACCTGATGGAGAGTCAATTATGAGTTGGTTCCAATTCGACAGTGCATAACAATCAAGTATAAATAGCTTCGGAAATTCTAATGGACACAAAGATAATGTAAAAATGGGTGGAACTGGGGGTATCAGGCACCCTCCCCAAACTTCATTAGGGGAAAAGGGTGAGAATTACTGTCATTATCAATCCAACAATCCGAAAGGTGGAAGCTAGACGTATCTCTTCTCTTTCCCATTTTTTTACCTATTCTGACCATCAGCCATCCCTCCTGAGGCCTACTTTACTTCTCTGTTGAGTTTTAGAACTTGTTGCAATAGTCACACAGATCTTACAGACTATATCCATAGTTTTGGAGCTTACTGGAGAAGCAATAGATTACAATTAGGGATCAGAACAGATCTGTACCTTGTCCTATCTTGTACCATCCTCGTCATCTCTGATACGACTGAGCCCAATGTTAGTCACTGTGTTAATTCATCTCATTAAGGCTCTTCCTCACTTTCTGAACACCCTTCCAAGCATGATGACCCTCTCCAAGGACTGGCCCCTCCTAATAACAGGCCCCAAGAATGTAAGACCAAGTTTTATCATCCTTGCCTCCAGGAAGCACCCTTGTTGTACTTTCTCCAAGACACATTTGTTTATTCTTTTGACACTCCTTGGGAGGATATTCAGTAGTACTCTTGCCCTACAACTCAAAGGCATAGATTCTTCTGCCATTCTTTTTCTTTTACTCAGTCTCTTCTCAACCATGCCCATAGGCAGGCCTCTTCCTAACCTTCAGCCTCTAGGCCTCTGAATCCAAGCTTCACTGTTTATTAAATGCCTAGGAGCACTCCATTCAGCAGGCCAATTTTGGCCAAAGGCACTAAGCTTCCTCATTCTGTGGGCAAACAAGCCCTGGAGCATCCTATTTAGCCAGCAAGGTTCTTTCCCAAAGGCATTTAGCTCTTTAGCTCAGCAGGACAGCCTAACCTCGGTAATCACCTTATCCTATGAGCTGAGAAGCCCAAAGCACTGTCTCTGTCAGTCTCTTGATTCTGCTGCTGCCATTTCTCACCAGCTCCTATCAATCCTCATGTTATAGCTTCCTCTCTCTCCTGAGTCCAGGGACTTCTCAGCAGAGAGTCAAGTAGTCTCCCCTGTCATCTCTGGATGGCTCAGGATAACAAAACTGACCCTCATTAGGACTCCGTACACCGTATTTGCATGGCCCCCTCCTAAAAGATGCCATGCACTATACTTGCCTATTAGTAGATAGCCAATCCCCTTGGTAAACAACAAGCACCTCTTCTGCATAAGCCACAAGTCCTAACTTGTCATTTAATGGGAGTTGCAAGATTACAGCAAGAAAAGCTATATAAAAGCAATTCATTACACCACAAACAAAAAACAGAAACCAAATGAAGGAAAAGGGACTCATTAATGTTTCTTTAAATTCTGAACAACCTTCCAAATCAAAACAAAATCTGTTCTAAATCATTAATGAATGTTCATGGCTAGAAATTAAGTGAGGTGAATTTTAGCTTTCTGTCCACATCACGTTATCTTAAGTAGCTTTACAGAAGTAAATGTATGTCCCATAATCATTTGTTTATATATATGTATATACAAGTATGCAACACTTATGCAGGCACACACATTGCTGTTGTTACATGCTGTCAAGTTGGAACCAACTCATAGCTGACTCTCCAGTGGGTTTTCAGAGGCATAACTCGCATGGAAGGAGACTGCTCATCTTTCTCTAAGCAGGTAGTGGATCTGAACTGTGTGCCTATGGGTTAGTAACATAACTTCTTACTCATGAGGCCATCAAAGCTCACAAACACATACATATGAATTCTGAGCCTCCTCTGCCCTCACCAGTCCTGTTGCTTCCTCAGGGCCTTTAACCTAATGCTTCCACATCCTGTAACATATTGTTGTTGTTGTTGTTATGTGCCGTCGTGTCGCCTGCGAAGCATAGCGACCCTATGTACAACAGCCCTAAACTCCGCTCTGTCCTGTGCCAATCGCACTGTCTCTGACACTCCCATCCCAATTATCCCAGTCACT